CAAATATAAAGCCTAAAGAAGTGTCCACTGAAACATGGACCCAGCATAAAGGACCAAATTCAGGAATGTGAGTGACAGCCACCTGCCAAAAATGATTGGGGTGTAACCCTTGGAGATTGAGCCCCATAAAAGGCAGAGAAGGTGTATTATACATGAGGAACATTGTGTGACAATTTCTTGGGCCTGTCCCTGGGTCAAATGGTGTAGGGAACCTCGTTGGTCTCTCATTGTACCCAGGAGAGAAATGGCTGTGGGTATGAGGAAAACAAGGACAAGAGACAAGAGCTGGGTCAGGTGGAGTTACCTGATGATGGGCAAGAGGACTGACTTCAACAGTAGGGGCCTTTATTTTATACTCTTGCAAAGTTATTATCAGGAGAGGTAATGTTGCCTAGCAACTAATGACTGTGATTGTCCAACCAGGATGCTTTTTTCAATACTGCGGTGGCTTGACTGCTTGAGGCACTTTGGCTCTGCCCTGCCCTCACACACATGACCAATATCCAGCTCCAGTGGCTCCTAACAAAATGAAACTGTTTGTGCAAGGCAAAAGCATTTTGATGAAAGGTGGTATGAGCAGCAGAAGCCTGTTGAGTGGTATCTAAGGAAGAAAAAGTGACAGCACCCAGCAATCTGCCTATAACAGAATTTCCCTCAGTGTGAGGCCCTAGCAATAGGGAATTGGAATGTATATGACCCACCAATCAGGGAACATGATGTGCCTGTATTCTGGAAGAGAAAGCCATCATTGGCCTCCCTTACCCTAAGATAATCCATCTGTGAAAACAGAAACAAAGTAAATTAACTTGCCTGAAGGATAATGACAATAACCCCAGGGAAATTAGCCCCAAAGCTGGGCAGAGTTACTTATTATTTTTAAATAAAGTCTGAAAATCATTTAAGGTTGATCTGAACTGCTTGGGGTATTTTCTACATCTGTTCAAAAGCATCTTCAAGTTCTATGTTGGTAATTTTTTCAGAATCTTGAAATTTCAAGAAACCATTTCTAGCATATCCTGTCATATAAATAAGAATATTGCTTCTGTCATCAGAGAGAAGATGTTTTGACCTAGGGGTACTAGGTGGGATTCTCCCAGTTAAAACCTATAAAAAAGTTTTCACGGTCACCTCTGTAATCCAATTTTACATCATCTCCATACACATTTAGTTCTATATTCTTATGACTAAACATGGTAGCTGGTGTGAGATTTCTAGGATTGCAGGCTATATCTTTAGCAAGCATCAGGATAATGTGGCTGCTTTTTATGATTTCTGAATCCTGTCACAAACTAATAGTCTGTCATAATTTTCTCTTTCTGTACACTTCCAAAGAAATCAGTTATCAGGACGTTTTTAGGATCCCTCTTAGAAAGATCAGTGCAATGTCCAGGAGAAGACACACAAATGCTCTTGGGATATACTTTAAAAAGGTCATTCATATTAGTTTGGTCAGCTGGATTAATTACCCCTAAAATCAAGACATACAATGTGTCCCTATCCAGCCAATGGACTTTAATTGTGGGATCAGGTTGATGCAAGAGGGAATCTTCTTCCCTTTAGCTACTGGCAAGAGCCATTACATTAGGAGGATAAAACCGCTCATACACAGATACTCTTTGGCAGGTGTCAATACTAAATAGTAGATCAGTGTAGCATCTTTTTTATTTTTGTTGGATAAGGGGATTCAAATATGAAGAAGTTATCATAGTTTGCATCCTGCCAGGTTAGCAATTTAACACTTTTGCTAGGGTGAGAAACATTACCCTTTCCCCATGAGTCTGTAGTGGCTACATCCAGAGGCTATGCTTTAAGCCAGTGATGTTGGGCAATAACTGAAATATCCACACTTGAGCCTAAAAGCCCTTTAAATATTTTTTTCTTTCAATAGGCAGTTCTAACTTGGGGCATTTTTGTTTGATCTACTGAAACCAATAGGTGTCAAAAGATCCAAAACCCTTGGATCCCTTTCCTTATTTATAATGTTAACCTTCTTCAAGAGAGAAATGACAATTGAGTGATACACGAGTTGGAGGTGATTAAGGTTTTGAGCATCTGAATTTTTATATAGCCTGAATCAGTGACCTGGGCCAAACCTGGAGATCCCTTTGCAGCCTCTGGCTGCAGCTTTCCTTTCATCACCTCGGGGCTGGGCGAGCTGCTGGCAGGGCCTCAATAGTCCTGCTGTTCTCTGGGAATTAGGTTCCACTGCCTGAGGCATTCCCCACCCCTAAGTGGCATGGCAGTTACTGCCTCTGTAGCCATGGCCACCTGCTCCTACGATGGGGATGCCCGGGGCAGCTGGCCCGGGGCAGGCCTGGCTGAGGCACAGAGGCGCTGAGGGGTTTTCTGTGGGATCCACTTTGCCCGGTGGAAGGAAACAGAGTACGCGGCCCTTGTCTTGGCCATTTGACCTCAGGCTCTGGGCGCGCTTGCTGTGGCTCCTGCTCTGGCCACTGAATATTTTGTTTTTGTCTGGATTTTGAGAGCAGACTATATTTACGCCAAACGAATTTCTGGTGCCAGAAGTATGCATGAGGTAAGATTCAGGGAGATCCAGGGCACACTGCAGTCCTGAGTTTCCTACTTAGCCCCAGGTGCACAGACCTGCAATTGGTGGCCCACATAGATAGCCTGGCTGGACCAGGCCTCTGGACACTCAGGCAGCTGGGAGATCCCAGATGAGTCTGCTTAGTTAGGACTGAAGCACAAGGCCTTCCCTGCACTCAGTCTGGACCTCTATTGTTTGACGGGGCCAAGGCAGGCCCAGTGGGAGTTTCCTGGAAAGGGTTGGTGTTTCCCATCAGTTTTAGATTTACACTTATTTTCCCAATGATACCTTCATTGACACTTTGTGCAAAGACTGGAAGGTTTTATTGAAGAGACGGATGGCTGTGCTGCCTTTACAGGTGCAACAGCAGTTTTGGGCAAAATGTCCCTCATCCCTGCAACAAAAACAGCCTTGGTTTCTTCCTTTTTCTTCAGACTGTGGATGAATAACCCGAGTGACAGCTGCTGCGAAGGCAGTCCCTTGTACATACGAGGAGCTCATATCTGCACAAATTCAAAGATGTATTATTTGTCTTGGATCATTGGGAGCTTGAACTTTAGTGGTTGATATGGTAGATATGCCAAAGATGGAATTTGTGAGGAAACACTGTTCTGGTGGGGAAAGGCCTCTTTTGTCCCCCATTCCTCCTTTCTTATTAAACTGGGGAAGGCCAGAGAGTTGAAGCTCTATTGGCAGTGCCGTTGCTCCACCCTCCTAGTCCCATTCAGGCTCGAGGCTTGATGTTGAAATAACGTTCCAAACTGAATCCTTTATGGTTGTAAAACCCCTCCTAACGAACATCCAGAAAAGAAAAATGAATACAGGAGTCAAACATGCAGCACACACTTCTGTATACACATACCCCAGGATTCTTGAGACTCTAATTGCCCCATTTTGACTGCTAGCACTTCAACATCCCTTTCCCTCTATGGCTTCTTTGAAACCTATATATTTTCAGGCCTTTCAGGACCATATGCCCACACTTCACACCTGATATGCCAGTGCCAAGGCACGTCAATACTGGCTCTCACCAATTTGCCCCACCCCCACCCCATTGGGTGCGTGTCAGAAGCATTCACGCTGCCCACTCTGTCCTTGTTGTGAGTGCCAAATGTAGGGACTCACTAGGTTGTTGGTGTGCCCTGGGTAGGAACAATGATGGGAATGAGGAAAAGATAGACAAGAGGCCAATATCTGGGTCAGGAGGAGATCCTCCCTTTCTTAAGCCAAGAACGGTAGAGTGTTTATTTACACTCTCGAGAGGTTGATATTAATTTAACCTCTCTACCCAGCAGTCAGTTAACAAGCTGCAATACCTTGTTGACATGCTTTGAGGAGCTCCCGTGTTATCAGGCTGGCTTCTTTTTGCACACTTAATTACCTTCCAGCTTCAGCTGCTCCCAACACAAATTCCCTATGATGAATATGATCATTATGTATATCTAAAAGATAGTAATACAATTAATAAAAAAGAAGAGAAAACATCTAGGCCATGGGTTTGATTTTCTGAGTCATGAATTGATAAATTTTTTTTGTCAGTTTGGAAGTCCTTTGAGAAAAAACATACTAATTTGTTCAATGTTAATGTACCATTCAGCTAGAGCTAAAGAAGAGTATTTATGAATGTTCTCAAACTTGGTATCAGTATTTGACATTAAAAGCTTTTGTTCCACATATAACTATCAAATGGCTTAAGAGAAGGTTTTCACTTCATGTAAAATAACCACTTTGGTCTTTTTTCTCACACGTTATTTTTTTAAGAAATAGCTGAAAATAAGAATCATCTGGACCTGAAGGAGAGCTTAAAACAAGCAAAAAGACAAAAGACGAGTGGTGATGGTAGAGGCAGGCTTCACCCAGATCAGCCGATTCTGCCTCAGACAGTGGCTGCCGCAAGCACAGACCCTCAACTCCCTGTGACTGTAAGGCGAAGCCCGAGCTGAGCTCCAGAGACCCCGCCTTCAGACCCATCTCCATGGGCCCCATCGCCAAGGGAACTGCTGTCTGCCGGAGCGCAGGCCCGTGCTGGCTGGAGGGAGGTGTGACACCTGTGGACACCACCCTCCATCACCCCTAGAAAAACGCTTCCAGGCAGGCACCTTTTTTCCCTCCACTCCTCCTGCTAACCTCAGCTGCAGCCTTCAACTCCCCTCCCTGCATCCCCATCCCAGAGCTCAGATCTCAAAGTTCACTCAGCCTTTCCCAAATCAGGTCCTCTCTCCCCCAGCCTCGTCCTGGTGCTTGGGCAGCTTGCGTGGGCTCTGCCGCTGGCGCCCGCGCTTCTCGCACGTGGCCTCTTTCTGGAAATGTTCAGAAACCTCCAAGGCAGCCCTAAGCTGGTTTCGGCTCTGATACATTTTGTGTGCAGCTGGCAACACAATAAGTAACACACACAGAATGAGTAAATAACTGTCCCCATGGAGAAATAAGCAGTCACAAAAGCACACGGAAATGAAGAATGGAACTTTAATCAGAAATGGAGGCGGCCAGGCCCTTGCAGGAGCTCAGCGCAGTAGCTTCCCCAGGAAGAGGAAGAGGAGGATGCGAGCTGGGGGCTGGACGCAGGCCCCGCTTCTGAGAGCCGGTCTGCAGTTCCCAGTCTTGTTAATGATGGGTAAACCCAGGTAGGAAGTGAGCGCCTCCTCGCACAGGTCTGCTTGTATGCACTTCTTCATTTCAATGGATATGTTGTTAATACCTGCGAGAAACCACACGCGTGAGACGCCCACCCTCTGTTCTCCCCTTCTCCTTCTTCACTCACACACACTGGTCAGCATAGGACCTCCGGCAGCCACAGGAAGGCACTGTTTCCTCCGGATCCCTGAGTCCCCTCTCCACCTGCGTCGGTGAAGTACAGACGTGCTTCCTAGACTCGAGTTAAGCGATCTTTTTCTCAACTCACTGCCACTGGGGGCCCATGAATGCTCTCATAGACATCTTGTGCCCATGTCCGTGCCCAACACGCAGTCTGAAGGCTCCGTCCAGGCAGCCTGCACACTACTGGTGTCCAGGAGCTGTGCACCTGCGTTTCGGTTCTGTGGACTGTTGATGATTTTAAGGGGATAAAGCTAATCTCTTATTATTAATCTGAGTCATCTATTAATAAATAGCAATGACCATGAAAAGCTATGTTTGATTGTATTCTCTGCCCCTCAAAGGCCTTCAGATGCATCCTTTCACACAGCAGACACACTATGCTCCTGCTGATTTTATCTCAGCAGTAGCAAATAAGCGATTGCTATCCTAAAGTAAAGAATCCCTCTGTTGAAGGAAAAACGTAAGAATCCAGGAGACCAGCCGCCTTGGCGAGCTTCTGTAATACTTCAGTGAGGAGAAACTTAAGGAGCACTGAGCGCTCAGAGTGTGAAGGGAGAAAGGAGACAGCAGGAAGGCCGTGGGGATAGCCCCACCCTCTGGACCTGAGCCCGAAGGTCTTCCTGCTGGCCCGTGCTGCCACTCCTCACACACACCTACTTACCCTTCAATTCACTTAGGGTTATGCTTTGGATTTTCTTAAGGAGAGCACAGTATGTTCAAATTTGAAGAAAGTTAAAGATTAGTCACGGCCTCTCTCCAAAGCTCTTAAAAACCCAGAGAGTACATGGCAAGAAAACCCGCAAATTTTCCAGTGTTTATTAAACTAACCAAAGTTTGCAGAGGAGAAAGTTTCATCCAGTAGGCAGAGCCGACACCCTTGAGGCAGGTGGGGGTTCTGTCAGTCGATGCCTGCACAGACTCACAGGTGGATGAATGCGTGGGGAAAAACCAGCTGGACATCTTTACAGAGTTAAGACACTGCTGTGTTCTCATTGCTAAGAGATCTGGACAAAAGCCATTCTCAACGCTACCCTTGGAACATGTGCAGCAGGCGTGTAGGACAGTGCCACTTATTCTGTGTCTGCCGAGTACTGCACCTGAAGAGACTACCTGTTTTTATAACGAGGGCACCTGTTTCTATGAGGAGAGTACCTGTTTTTATGATGCCGGAGAACTCAAAACACTTTAGCTTATCTGCTGCACACCATTTGAGTTCATTGTCACATTCTCTTCCCTTCACAGCCAAGCATGTTGGGCACTGGAAGCCGTTGGAGCTGAACTGATTAACATCCTTCTCCTGTAAGTCACTCAAGTTAATCTCCCAGGAGACTGGTAAGAAAAAGAGAATGAAAACTGTCCGGTTATGAGCCACTGCAAGGAGAATGTGCTCACACACAACAAGCTCAAGGACTAGATCCATCCCATTGTCCCCTGCTCCCCACCAGCATGCTTCACAGGACACCACCTCTCCCACTGGACTCAGTACTGGAGTTAGCACAAAAATCTCTGCCCTCATAGGGTTACGTTCTGATGGCAGAGAGGAAGTTAAAAACAAAAGGAAGAAAGAGCCGTGGTGAGGCAGATGGTGACACATATTACAGAGAAACACATCGCGACAGGAAGCATCAGTTCACAGGGCTGATCCTGCTTCCATCCACATGGTCCTGCTGCCACCTGCCGTCAAGGGTAAAGACAGGGCATGGCTGCTCCAGTGGCGGATGTGCTTGCAGAGCATGATTCCGGGAAGCACGGTGGAGAAGTGGAGACTCATAGAAAGATACAGGCAAAGAGAAAAAGGAAGTGAATGTGTTATGGTTGATACACTGTCAAACTGGGGAGTCCAGAGGCTTGACTAAGTGACTCAGCAGTTCTACATCCTGGGGTGAAAAGGACAGGCCCTTGCTGCTCTAGGATGTTGTTTGCTGTGTCAACTTGAGAAGTTTAGAAGTTCAACTAAGTGATTCAGCAGGGGGCCAGGGTCCTTACTTTATGAACATCCTCAGCTTGTGGAAGAGGAGGGCACGGAGATGGTGTGGCATAGGCAGAGAGCTGGTTTACAATATAAGGAGGAAAAGAGGCTTGCTTCCCTCTCCCTTTTTGCTCTTGCTGCTTTTGCTGCCTTCTGCCACCCCTGTGCCATGCTCTGCTGCCTTGGAGCCAGCTGATTATAGACTGAAACCTCCACAAACTGTAAGCTAAATAAACCTTTCCTTCCATAATTGTGGGCACTGGGTATTTTGTCTCAGCAATGACAGAAAAGTAACCAAGACAGAAAGCCATGATATTTATCTGCAGAACTCATATCAGGCTACCTATTGGTGGTGCCAATTTGCTTATTTTCCTTTGCCACCAGAAACTTTCCTGACTCTCCTTGCTCTGTGGTTCCCATGTAACCACTGTGGGTGACCCCACAGGACATGGCCACTGGAGCCTCTGCACCCTTCCCCACCTTGCCTGGGCACCATGCATCCTCTGCTTCTTGCTCAGCTAGACTGACGGCTAGACCAGTGACTCCTGGGAGCAGTGGGAGTGGGTAGCTTGGGCTTCAGGACTTGTGTGTCCAGTGGTCACAATGCTCCTTACAGTAAAGGGCAAGGTGAGTGAGCAGATAACATGGCTTGTGGACCGGATAGAGCTCTCTCTATACTGCCATGCCCTGGTATGGAACTCCGAGGCAGGCCAATATTCCAGGACTGTTAGCTCTTTCTGAAGGTATATATATTCAAGTAAGAGGATGCAAAATAGTTTAACCTTTTTTAACCTGAAATTTTAACCTTTTCAATATTGTGCCATATCACTGGGTTCTAAAAATGCGAGGGCAGTTGGTGCTCTACCCTGGACAGGAGCAAAAGCTGGGCGTGCTGGGAGCCATGTGCTGTCAGGAAGAAGGGGAGAAAGGGAGACCAGTACTGCCCCAAAGAGCTCTCCAGGACCTACAGCCCCCAGAGACCTGCGCTAACTTGGTCTGTTCTCTCTAGAGTCTTGTTGGACGAAGCCCAATCAAAAGTAATTAAAAAGCCACAGAGCCAAAGTAATTTCTAAAATCAGAAAAAATGTAACACTTCAAAAATAAGTTTTAAAAAAAAAACTAACATAAAAAAGAATGCCAATCATTAACACCGGAGACTTTCAAATTCATAATTTCACAGAAATATGTGCCCCTAGCAACAGGACCTGTCTGCTTCTCTCGTATTCTAAACTCTTTCCCGCTTCACCCTGTTCTGAAGTTACTCTGTCCAGTGTTGTCTATTTCAGTGTAAATGGGCTAAAATGAAATGTTATTAAAATTCACTACACATGTCATTTCAAATGTTCAACACCCAAACATGGCTGGTGGAGTCAGCACATTTCAATCACTATGAAATACAATAGTGAATGGAAATTAAAACTATAGTGTGTGACAGCAGGCATTATCATCTATCTCTAGTACAAAAGTACACCTCCTTGAGGTGGCCGGATCACTTCAAGACCATCCTGAGTAGTACTGTGAGAGTCTGTCTCAAAAACCAAAACAAACAAAACATTAGTAATACTTCCTTTTTTTTTTTTTTGTCTTTTTGAGACAGGGTCTCACTATGCAGTTCAGGTTGACCTTGAGCTCACTTTGTAGCCCAGGCTGGCCACAAACACAATGATCCTCCTGCCTCAGCCTCCCAAGTGCTGGGATTACAGGCGTGTGCCACCACACCCAGCTAGTAATACTTCTTGAGGGCAATTTGACAACACAGAATCAAAATCTAGATTGTACAAATGCTTCAATTTAGCAGTTTCTGGGTATTTTCCTAGATGTATTTATTTAAGGTATTTTACTATAGCATTCTCTATTACAGTAAATTGTGGAGGACCACCTGGACAATTCCCCTTGAAAGAAGATCAAACTTCTCCATCTTGTCTAAACCTGGCCCTAGTTCCGTGTACTGACAAGTACAGAGCTGGCTAAGTACTTATCCCCTCAACTGGCTTCAAGCAATACAAATGGGTCTAGCTAAGGTGCTGATGTGTATCTACTCTTTGAAGCAAGGTTACAGGTCAGTGTTGCCCTGCCTGTAGCTCCCAAAAAGTATATGTGAGTGGGACCCAGAGAGCCACACGGTCAGTTGAGACCCAGCCTTGAGTTAACAGGCTATAACTTCTCAGGATATAAAAAATTACACATCTGAGCTGAAGCACTGACCTCAAAACATTAGATACTGCCCTGAATTGTGTTATGCAGATTATTCTTTTCGCATATCTCTATCTGCATATGGCAGAGGTGACTTCAGGCTTCCTACCTAGCCCAGCTCACCGCACTCATATACTTCCTGCCACTCTCACAGTCACTCATCCCCAAGCCACTCCCCTCTTCATGAATTAATAAAGCTTGGGTTTGGCCCCGGGTCACGGCCTTTGTTCCTGTTAGCCATGGATCTAGCTGGACTTAGGACCCCCTTGGCTCTGCACACTAAAAATATGCCTTAGTGTCTTAATTCTCGCCATGTGTTGCACTGGAAGTGGTAGATTGGAATTAATTTGTTAGAATTACAATAACTCTTCCATGGGATCACAAATATGGATTTTTTTGGACTTTCACAAGGTCCAGAAGGGCTTTCTATAACAAATGGTTGGATGGACTCTGGTATATCCATAAAATAGAAGAGAATACAGCTATAGACAGAGGTGCTTTCCTATGCATTAACATGAAAACCTCTACAAGATACACTTCTAAGCTTCAGGGAGTAAGATGTAGAACACTGGATATAACATTCTGCCAATGGAAGAAAAAAATACATTGGGCTATGTTTGTAAACACATACAGTATCTTCAACAAGTACACAAAGGGATAACTGTGGTTGCAGGGATTAAAGAGGACTTTTTTTCTCTGGACACAGAGTTCTTATTTTAAAAGCTTTACATGGCCAGGCGTGGTGACCCACACGTGTAATCCGAGCACTCTCGAGGCTGAGGCAGGAGGATCATTGCGAGTTCGAGACCAGCCTGGGCTACAAAGTGAGCTCAAGGCCAGCCTGAACTGCACAGGGAGACCCTGTCTGAAAAAGAAAAAAAAAAAAAAAAAAACACTTTACAAATGGGATTTTCCCATTAAAAAAAAAAAAAGGAAGAGATAGGAAAAGATAAGTTCTCAGTTTTGGCTCTTGAGAACAAAGGCCTATTACAGAAAATATTCAAATGACAGCAACAAAGCATGCCCTGACTCCAGAGTAGAGACGTTTGAGGAAGCAAATGGGTACCTGGTTATGCCAGTTGAGGGCTCCAAGAAAAACTCTGACATTTTATCTAAAACTTTTCCTAAACATAAAGGTGGCATATGATTTTTTTTTTTTTTCTAAGCAGGAGAAATCAAGAAAAAGCTGGAATTTTACGTAAAAATACTCTGCCCATTTTTATCAAAAATCCTACACTGATTCAAACGCTAAGTGATAACTTGTTATTGTGATGGTTGGTCCATTAGTATAGGCTTGGAGAAAGGAGGTGGGCCAAGAGTTTAGAGAGTTATTTTCAGTCGGCTCTCCCTTTTCCCAAGAAAGGATGAGAAAGTAAAAGGCTGAAGGAAAAAGGAGAGGTGTGAGGCACCAGGTGTCAAACCCTTGGCTATTGCGTTAGTGGGCTAACTGGGCGATGGGGGAGGCAGGCACGGAGGATCTGGTGACAGTGGGGAGAATGCAGGTTAAAATGATTATGTGGCACTAAGCGAATGGCCCTGCCCGTAGCTGAATTTGGCGAGCAACTCGGGCTAGTTAGAAGCCGTTCACACCGTAGCCCCATGATCCTCAGGGAAATCAGCAGCTATGCACGGGTCCATAGTGAACATTTCAACTCCTCCTTCCTCTCCTCAGCGTGAAGGAAAACATAAAGCTTAATGTGAGCTGTCAAGTGCCACAGGCGACAGAAACAGTAAGCCTAATTCTTTAAAAAGCATTCAGAAGCACGGAGCTCCCGGCGGGTGCCCGGAGGTCAGTACCCAAAGGCTGAGCAGGTAACAGCAGGACCGGAAGCACTGGGGGAGGAAACCAGGTCTCCTGACTTCCGGTGCCAGCGGAGATCACCCCGCGGGCCACATGTACAGGGAAAGCGGGAGTTAAACCAGGCCCCCGGGAGCCTGCACGCAGGGGACACCGCTCACCCGCGAAGCCGGGCAGGAAGGCGAGGCTCCAGGCCAGGAGGAGGATGCAGCGAGCTGCGGGGCGCATGGCGAGGCTGCTGAGGAAGCGCAGACAGTGAGCCCACATCCACCGACCCCCCTTGGCCCGCCTCTCCCACGGGGCGCCCTGCTCACACCAATCTCAGGTGCTCCACTCAAAGGCTGCAGACTCGTAGGGACCCCAAAGTCTAATGGTTCTGCCACTCCTTCCCTCGGGGCTGGGGTGAGAAAAAGCGGTGAAACCGGCGCTCAGGACACCTGCAGCGCCTCCTGGGGGCCAGAGGACACTGCGCAAGCGCCCAGGCCAGGCCTATGCCCATTGGTCGGCACCTGTCACTCTTCCCACCTCCTTGGAGCCTTGGCCAATGAGATGGGGGGTTATGGTCACATGACCAGAAGAAGCATGGCTGGCCGTTTCACAGTTCTGAGGATTATGTGAACTTGGAGTACTGGTTAAAGGCATGTTCTATGAGTGATACTTCTCTACCTGTTCTAAGAACTTGTGCAAACAGAGTACCCAGATGCTTCATTCTTTGATCAACAGTTCCCTCACCCCCATCCAAGGTCAAATGGCAGAGCAATTCTGTTACCTCATTTGTGTTCTAACACATCCACCCTTCTTGGTATGGTGTTTAGAGAGGGTGGAAGCCTCCTGTAAGCCCATGATTCATGGCTTCCCACTCCCTAGCACAGTGCTCCAACAAAATTCATTGTTAGTATGTGCTGAATAAAGCAGCCTTTCTACCTTTGAGCCAAGTGTGTGACAATTTTTCATTT